GCTTATTGTTAGATTGACTTAATAATAAATCGTTCACAAAACTAGACGGTTTGTGTAGTACCGTTGCGCTGATCATATTCGACGTGATAAGTCCTCGTTTCCAGTCGTGTGTAGACATGAGGGCATGGATTATGGTTATGTTCTCTCGTAAATGATTCCGGTGTTCTCCTGTTCGAATCTCACGATATTTTCTCGCAGCAATTCGTCGAGGCGTACACGCCTTTGACGCTTCCTAAAAGTTTGAAAGAACAATTTTTTCTTCGTTGTGTCAGTTTTCCTATGACCAAACAAATTCAGTTCTCTAATAATTCCGAGAAATCAATGCAGGTGAAACGTTTTTGAGAAACAGCGAATCTACGCCAGAACGTGATGAATATTCTGACCAAAAAAGAACACGAGCAATTAAGTTTTATCAAATGAAAACGCACACTAGCCGAGTCATTAGGATCAACACCTTCTTCGAGAAGTTGAGCAACAGTTCCGGGATTTTGGCCAACAATCGCAGAGCTGAGAGTGCTACTTGTTGGTAACGAATCTGATGTCTCGCTCAAGATACCTTTGATTTGCTTTAACGCTTCATACCTGAAAAGGACACCAACCACTAATCCATTCACTGAAATATTCTCGAATGACATATTTAGCTAATTGTGAGCAATCACGAATCACATTTGAAGAAATCAAAGCACTTTCACGACCAAATGAAAACTCACCCTCTCGTGGCGCTATCAATACGACCATCTTTAAGTGATAATATACTACCATTAACCCTCAACTCGATTTCACTCTTCGATACGATCCTACCGAAGTTCGCCAAGGAACCAGTCAATCGAAATGATAATAGATCAACGAGTGAATCAGAGGATTTGTATGTCTGCAATTGAACAATTACACGAAATGGCCCGTACAAACTACAGAGCTTTCAATTCGAGGTTTTGACAAAACTGAGATGCAGTCCTGCGAATGTTTTTGAGGATTTAATATGAAATTAGCATGATTCTGGCGATCTCAATGTACTGCAACAATTGATTTCTATAAATATCTACATTGCTCGTCGTGGAACTTC